CTAACATGAGGGCTTCATCCATTTTTGATTTTCCGATTCCTTCAAAAGTGATCACTTTCGGATGGATTGCATTAGTCAGTGGGGCAAATTGATAGTCGGAGTTCATCAACATTAAACCCTACATAAAAAAACACCTCACAAATCAATTTCAAATCCCTGATTGCAGCAATCCACATTTAAATACATTGATTTTGGCCTACTTTTTATGAAATCCTGCTGTGACTGAGCTACATGTTAAAAATGTGCCATGATGTCTAAGCCAATCAGCTTAAAGTAAAAATCCCCTAATACCAAACACAAACCCCTTACCGCCAAAATAAAATTGTCTTGTTGTATAAACTTCAATAGAGATTATGGCCAGAGCAAAAGCTATAACGCAACATTGACACATTATAAGGTTAATATGGACGATGTGTTAGCAGACAGTTGTCTATTTACACATCCAGCAGATACAGAGCAACGCAGCATTCATTTGTCATCACCATGGGTTACCACTTTCACAGTTACTTAATCTATTGTTAATATAAAAATTGTTGTCCCAGTACTCCCCTTATTCACATCTGTTATTTCACACTGCAGATGCACTATCCACAACCTACTGAGTAGTTTGTCCACTGTTAATACTAAGTACTAACTTAATAATCACAACTATTCATGCATAATAATGAGTTTAACATTTGAGAGTTCACTGTAGCATGTCAACCTTTTTTTAATGTCCTGCCCCATCTAGGCTGTGACTGGACATTGAGCTCATCGGCTTTCTAAAAAGTTGAACACGTTTCAACAAAAGGCACCCCATAAGGTCGTTCCTTGTACGATCGGCAGAAGCCCAGGATACATTATTTTTTTCTCTACTTTTAGTGTGTCACACAAACGATCAGCACAGCTCTGTTGTGCCATCATCTCGTGATTGACTCGTGTTCTCCTTGTGCCCTTTTGGAGCCAGGCTTGTAAGGTTGATGTAATGTTACTTGGACTAGCTACCAACAGAGTGGTGAGAATGGGAACAGGTGAGCGTCACATAGTGCCCCTGGGCAATGTAGTTTATGTAGAGCCATTGTGAATTGCCCAGATAACTGATATGGAGGTGGCAGAAAATAGTACCGTCAGCTTCTGAGATGTGCTGGTGCGCAAGAAAAAGTCACGGCACACCAAAGAAAAAAAATGTAAAGTCCCAGTATTGTTCCCGCCCACTTCAAGCACAGATTACTGCAGCTTTAAAGCAAATGTTTCACTTTACCTCCTGACTTTAACTTAAGAATTTTCACTGGTTCATTTCAAGAGGAAAGGCTTCTCAGGCTGTAGATCTTTGCTGGATGATATGCATGGAGTTACGTACCGTAAGTCTGTGGCTTACGGCATAAGTCACTGTTCAGTCACCCATGGAATAAGTAGGCTTAAGCCAAAGAGAGCAGGGGATCAATAGTGAGAGTGTGGAGATGAGCTTGTGACTCCTGTCTGAATCACATACAATCTTCTCTGTTTATCTGACTCAGTCTGTAATTTGTCCTGTTTCTCCAGACAATGGGGTTTCATCCGTGGATAGTGTGTTCATCTTCCAGAGCTCCGCAGAGGAAACCACAAACACTTCCTACGACGCCATCGTGGTTGAGCATGGACCGTTGTTGATGTGGGTCTGAGTTTTTAATACTCTGGAGAAGATGTGCACTTTGAGAAATTCTTTGTGACTGAAGACTTAAGCTGCCTTCTGTCAAACATTACATAAGAGTGGAGATGATGGAAAGTAGCGTGCCGAGCTTAAATGTGCCTACCTGCACTTGTGCTGTAATGTGTTTGTGCAGTTTGTCCTTGTGTGCGTTTGGACCGTATACGTCTAAGCGATATTCTGTCTCTTTTCCAGGGTGTTGTGGTGAAGACAGACTACATCCCCTTGCTCCAGTCTCTGGCTCAGTATGGATGGAAGCTGATGTGTGTGTTACCCACACCAATTGTCAAGACCAACAGGTACAGTTCACTACCAAGATAACACCGTTGCAACCATAAACTCACATCTCTACTAAACTCTTTTTTTTACTTTACATTCAGTCACTTGAATAACTAAGCTAAAATCACAAAGTAAGACTAATTACAATGCCTGTCTCATTTTTTTGGGATTAGGGCTGACAGCGTAGTTTAGATACACATGACAGATGGTTCGAGATCTGACAAATCATGATCATATGCTCCTCTCAACATGAAACTGCTTTTGAAGTCTGTCGGCGCTGCGAACAAAAACACAGTCGCTGATGTGCTGTTGTCTTGTAACCTGTCACTTTGCCAACCGCAGTGAACAGAAACTGGATTTCAATCCATGTAGTGATATGCAAGCTCCTCAGATTATAACAGGTAACAGTGGTAAAAGTGCTGCTCTCTTCTTTCTGCAGTGACGGGAGTCTGTCGACCAAGCAGATCCTCTTCCTTCAGAGACCCATTTTGCAACGCAAGAGAAAAGACTTCAAGGTTTGTTCCGCCTTGTCTTCCATCTTCGCAGCAAATCTGTCACTTGTGTCTGTTGTGCCTTTAGGATACGTGACTTTATGTCACAGAAGGTGCCATCAAAAAGTCATGTTACTAAATATGGGATGTACAGCAAATATAAACCAGCTCAGGAAAAGTCTAATAATAGGCAAAGAGTCATCCTCAAACTGTACAGGAGAGAGGCGTCAATGAAAGAGGCTTTGTTGTGGTTTGTCAGGTGTCTGGAGAGATGGAAAGAAAAATACACTGCACAAAGCCCAAAACTGTCTCAAACTCATCTATTTGGTTTCAGATGCTGAACCTCAGGGGTCGTAGCAAGGCAAAGAAAAAATCTACTGGAGATATGCAAGATGAGAGCGAGAACAGGTCCCCTGTGATGGAGACAGAGATGGACAGGTTACGAAAAAACACAGAAGAGGCAGAGGGGAGGAAGAGCAGGGACAGGGGAAAGAGCGAAGGAGTGAGCCTTCAGGAAGGCCGTGAGGAGAGTGAAGAGGATGCACGGCATCAAAAGGACGTCTCATTCCTATCGGGGAGCAAGGCTTCTGTTGAAGAGCAGGAAGAGGAAACCGACATTGATGAGATCCCACTGTCCAAGCAGGAGAAGTTGGTGAGATGGACAGATGTGTGTCAGAGAGATGATGGAGGGGTCAAGGAGGAGGTGAAGACAGAAGAGAGGATCAAACAGCAGCTGTTTTCCGGTGTCTGTTGACACATTGGGCACAAAGCAGGCATGTGGGAGCTGAGACCTTTTTAGCACTTGGAGGGGGAAAAAAAAAAAAAAAGCCTTTTCAAATAACATTTTGTTGATCTGGATTTTTAGTTCCTCTGCGGACGAACCAGATGTAGCCAGTCATACTGTTACTAGTCATCATGTTTTGCTTCAGTCTGCTGTTTACGGCGTAAACACTGAGTTTTTGAGGTTGTAGCTCCCATAAATGGGAAAGTATTGTGCAGTTCTCTGCTTTGGGTCAGTGTTGCTATTTGATGTATCCTTATATGAAATTAAACCGTACCAGGCTATGGAGTACAACCTCCAGTCCAAGCCTTAAGTATTATTTTCTTGCCCATTGTTGTATTTTACTACTTTCTTGTAATAGGACTGTTTAAAAAAGGGACAACTGATTTCACTGGGTTTGCTGTATTTTTATATGTAAAGTATATAATTTAAGATAGAAACAAGAGGGGGAAATTTGGTGTGTAGTACACTGCAAACGATATATCGACCGATATATAGTTCTTAAAATTCTCTTTTGGGTATCGGTTAGGCTCTACACTGCATTGAGATGTTAGATGGCACATTTTACTAGGCCTAAAGTTAAAGGTTCAGTTCATGTAAATTACAAAAAAAAAAAAAAGATTCTGTCACTTAACTGTAGTCAAGTCTTTTGGTCAGGTTTTGAGACTTCCATCTTAGATTTCTTCAACTTAACACAATGTAGGTGAAAGGAATTTTGTTTGTGTTGCTCATTACATAAAAAAAAAAATCAAAACTAAAACATTTCTTTCCAGAAGCAATCTCCCGGATACCCCACATAACACACACAACACATGGACGACTGTTTTCTTGAGGTATATTTCTACAGTAGAAAACCGTTCCTATGGAAACTGATTACTTCGAGGTCTGTCTGTTATCCAGAGTAACTGGAACATTGCTTCTGGAAAGACACTGTTTTGGTCATTTTTTAATGCAATTTTTTCCAATGCTGGGACCATCACAAATGTCTATTTACCTCCACTGTAACTGAGTGGTAGCAGACATTTCAGAGACAAATCTGGCTGATTCAAACAAAAATGTGTCTGTTTGGTTAGATTCTACAAGAGGCAAGTGAAAAGTGCTTTTTATAATTTGGATGAGCAGACCTTTCATCATCAGAAAATGTGTAAATTAGAAATCAACAATTTATTAATTATTTCTGGGACCACATCATGTTGTGTGTAAGTAGTGTGACATGTAAGTCTTTATAGAAAAGCGGAGGTCAATAAAGTGGTGGAAAACAGACTCCTTTATTCCTGTTTAATCTCATTTTACCAGGATACACAATTTCCTCATGAGGAACACAGAAACAACTCGAAAATGAGTTTTGACAGTGCAACCCCCCCTACTGAGACAAGAAGAAGAAGCTTGCAACCATCTCAGGGGGATGTTCAGTGATCCAAGCCGACCAGAGACCACCTGGAGGTTCCATTACAGTGCACCATGGGATACTCGCTCCACCTCGGGTTGAGAAACAGTTTGGGTATGTGGAAGTGTGTATTTGGGATATGTGCTGTGTATGCATGTAACTGTGAGAGTGAGTAAAACAGGCCACTGGCCAATATGTGGGAGACTGTTTTTGACTCTAAAAATACATGTGTAAATTTCGCATGTGACTAAAAATGATCAGGCAAACAACTCTAAAATCTTCAGTTCCGCAAATAAATAGCTCTGAGTTATAAGTAAATATATACACACATAGTATAACACTTCTAAGAACACAAATTATTAAATTAGCAGAGGTATTTGATGAACAGGTACAACATGTACCATGTAAAATAAAAGTATAGATTGCTATTACTGGCACTGATCCTTTATATCCTAGGGACTTTAGAGCAATAGTTTGACAATTTGGAAAATAAACAGCCATGTTGGCTGTTTCCCTCTAATTCAGTCTTTATGCTAAGTTAAGCTAAGCAGCTGTAGCTTTATGTTTAGCTAACAGGTACAAGAGGGGTATTGACCTCATCTAACTCTTTACAAGGAAGTGAATAAGTGTATTTCCAAAAATGTGAAGTTACTTTGAGACAATAGGTATAGGGAGTGGGTAAACATTTAGGGGTAAATTTGGGGTAACGCTAGCATAATCTATTAATTTGTTTAAACAGAACACCATTCATGCAAATACACACTGGAAATGAGATTGATCGAAATGAGACGTTAACTTCTTTGTCACAATGTGTGAATCATACACTTTAAGCAGACACTGGAGTTGCAGGTTTGTTGCAATATTCAGCAAGGCAGGGAGCTGAAACGCTTCTTGCCAAAGTTAAGATTTTACAGTCCTTTTTAAATTATAATAAATAAAACTCATCTCTTTTTTTCTTTGTGAATCAGCTGCTAGCTGAAGAGCGGGCGGTCCCAGATGTCTGTCACAGGCACAGTTCACAGCAGCAGGGATCGGAGGTGAATTTCCTCAAGTATTTGAGCACTCACATTAAAGTCATTATCACAGTTACTATTATTTCAGTTACTTTCCACTCACCACATCCCATAACATCCTCCCCTGCAATAAGGAGCGTTAGCCAAGAGGACAACACTGTAACTTTCTGGGAAGTGCAAGAGGTTCTACCACCACTTCTCAAAGAGGATTCTGTCTTTAGGGAGACCAAAGTCCATGAGGGTTTTGGAAATTGCTTCGATCATTGGCGGGGGGCCGCACAGGAAACACAAAGTCCTTTGCAGGTCCACATGAGCACGCAACTCATCCTCTGTGATTCTCCCGCCTGGGGAAACACAAAGGGAAGTCAATTAATCAAGACCCAGTGCTGCGGCACCAATTCCCTCCGAGTCGCCCATGTGGAGCTTTGATAGTGTCTGTTCTACATGATGACAGAGATAAATCAACAAAGACAGACTATTGTAGAATGTGACAGTCACTAAATCATCCCTGCTAAACAATACACGTGTGTAGCAATGTGTGTGTGTGCAGAGATTACTTACACTTGAGAAATGGCTGGAGGTGTGGGTCAACATCTGTACACTGTTGCGTGACGTGGAAGTCACAGGAGAACTTGTCAGGGAAATCCCGACACGCCTCAATGATGGAGCTCTGGGAACACAGAGGGTAGATAAGACATTTGTAACAGAGTTCCTCTTTACACACTGCAACACACCCACCACCATATTGTTGACAAACACATGGGCAGTAAAATCAGCAAGTTGACTAATATTATATATAAATACTACAAGGACACACCTTAAAGAGCAGCTCCTGTGTGTTCTTGGCGCTGTAGCAGAGGTGGACAGAGCCTATGTTGTAGTCCCGACCACCAGAGGCACAGTTCAGACGCAGCAGATCTGTGGTGTGCAACAGGATAGAGTACAAGGGATTGATCCCTACGCCACCGGCCACCAGCAGCAAATCCACGGACGGGTCTGAGGGTGACAGGTCAAAGAAGAAGTCCCCACCGACACGCATTGCCACCCGGGCGCCGACTGTACACTGAGGGGAAGGAGGGAAGAGAAAGCGATAAAAATCAAGACAGAAAATGAAAAAGACAGACTCAGAAAAAGGTAAAAGGAGATAACAGACTGTGTTGAGCTGGCTCCCAATATTTCTCTTTCCTTTCCCTTTTTAGATATGAAATATATTCCAAGGAAACTTACAGTATTGCTTTAACAACATCGAAGCCTCAGGAAATAGTAAAAAGACACTTTTAGATCAGCATGCATATGCACAACAAACCTATGGTATGGTTGGAAGTGATTTCCCAAGTTGCGCAGAGAAGGTCTTTTGAAGTCAAAAGGAGCAGTGAATATGCTTTTGTACACATGAGCACACATACACGTAATGCTCGCACTCTTAATCTGCCATCACGGTCCCCACACTATTCCTGCTCGCAGAGAGGAGTCGGAGCGCAATATCAAACACATGGCTCATCAAGCGATCTCAGAGCAGAGCGCTGTAAGTCTCAGAACACATCACGGTGCTTTCTGATACTTATTTACACGCTTTACTCATTTGCTCAAAGCTATTTATTAAGGCCCATCATCAAACACAGAAGCTGCAAACAAACAGAGTACAAAAATGGAAGGGAAACATTGTTCATATTCACACGACTACTCGCGCACACTAAAAAGCTACCTTTTGGAGCATGTCCTAGTACAATGTAATGCTCTAAAAATTAATAGATTAGAATATATAAACATATGATGAAGGGAGCAAAGACTTCAAAGCTTTCAATTGTTACTCCTCCATTTATGTATTCACACAACCTTTATTTACCCTGTGTGCAGGCTTTTTCAGAATGTCTTGCTTGAGTTTTAGTGTTACTACCACAATTCTACTTCTGAGCAACTACACAGGCAATTTTGAATTTGTCAATTCACGTTAGGTAACAAAAGCCTAAAAGAAAAATATGAACAGGGTGTGACGGACCACCGTCACTACAGTTGAGTATGCGCTGTGACTGCCATACCAACGAGCCTGGCTCTTTGACGTTGCGGTCAAGTTGCATGTTTGGTACCCTGTAGACCCGGGTTCGAATCTGGGTGAGGTGACTGCTCTTGCCTTTCCGTCACACAGGGGAAGAAATAATAAAATTGTAAGAATGTTCTATTGGGATTGTATCACAAACTTTTAATTTCACTTAACTTTTTAGAATACCCAACAGTGTGATTATGTGGCACTGCTGGTTTCCTAACTCTATAACACTGTGATGCTTTTGTTGCGCTCTCACATTCACACTGTTTCACCATCTATCTCATACATATGCTAACAGTGTAATCTTCCAAAACATTAGACAGATATATAGGGAAAATGACTGCCCCACTCACTGTGGTGTGGACCCAGAGCGCTGGGGGGTGTTTGGTGTATTTGACAGCCAGTTCAACAATGCCTTCCCTCTGCAGCAAACCCGGACTGGAGCACATGGAGAAACCTCCCACCTTCTCTACGCCGGGAATGAAGAAATCTACCCTGCACACACAGCCACAAAAAAAACAAAACAATTAAATCATAACTTAATTATTTAATATGTCAACTGATTTATTCTGGATGTTTGAACTTAATTAGATAATTAGTGAAGCTAAAGCTATTAGGAGTTGAAAATTTGTTCCTGTTCTTCACTCTGACGTGACAATGCTAAGTCTAACCATGGATGTATTGTTGCGTGGTGCCCTTTGACCTCAGTGAAGGGGGCAGAACTGTTCTTGAAACCAAGTAGAACAAAACCACACCACACACCAGATGGAAAGTTGCCTGCTAGTTAGTTTAAACAATGTGTAGCATCCCGGTCTTACACACAACATGGTCGGGTCTGTCCATCAACATACAAGGCACAGTACCCCCAGAGGAAAACAGCAATGCTAAACAGTTGGGCTAATGTTCCACCAACACAATGACCCACTGTTGCACTAGAGAGAGACACTGACTCCACAACCCTCAGAGGCATCATAAATATGGATCTGCTATGAAGACACATATGTTCCACCCACCTCATCCTCGTCCTCCTCCTCTCCCACCTGGAGATGAACAACTAAACAGTCCTTTTTCTAAAAAAAACAACAACACTGAAACTCAAGGATTTCCATTCATTACCAGACACCGCAGGGAAACTGGCTGCCGGTTTTACATCTCACCACCGCCCACCTACAGTATGGTCTCAGTTACATATACTGCATGTGCAGGGTACACTAATTAGCGTTGGCAACGCAGACTGACAGACACAGAAAAAATATCTGCCTTCATCGAAGAAGTACTTAACTTGCTATTATGATTATATGAGAGTCACCGGAAGTTAGCTTAAAACCTAAAACATTTCCCAGTATTCTGGATCGTCAAAAACAAGGCAGTGTCTCAAGAGCCTTTCAAGTCAAAACTGCACATGCAACTCAGTGCATTCAGCAGTTACCTACACAAATCTAAGAAAAAAAATTAGCTTATCAAGTCCCCAACTATTTAGTTTAACCTGACAAAAATCTCTCTTTGATCCTTCCATCAGCAGATCTGACACATTTCTTGACAATTTTCTTCTTATCAACAATAATATTGAGCTGGCTCACATGTTGACTGGGATGTAGGATTTTTAACTCCTGTGAACTGTAAAAGTTTAGTGGGAAAAGAAAACCACCAGGCCATATCAAGCACAATGCCACCACCTTGTGGTTACTATGAGCACTGCAGGCACTGTGAAAGGACTCCAGGGGGAAGTTACAGACTGCACTCTGTAAGTAATCTGGACACATGTATTTTGGCAGGTTCTGCTGATTTCTGTTTCATGACGACGTGACGTTTTACTATGGTAACTTCTACTTTGAGGCGAATAGGTTAGAGACAAGTTTATGGTTCAACTGCCAGGCTGCATTCCTGGCTTTATAGATTATATAACAGCACTGTTGCCCTTGTCAGTCATTGGAGGTTATACATTTCACCTAAATTGCATTGTCACCCCTTGTTTTGAAACTGCAAACGATGTGTTGTTTGCTTTTGATGTGTTCCGTGCCACCACGGATTTGAGTTGTGCATTCCTCTATGTAATGTTCTTTAAATGCTTGGGAATCTGACAGAAGCACAACCCCGATTATATTAATTTGTCCTAACGGGAGAGGTCACAAATTACTAGTTAAATAAAACTTGTCAAAGCCAGAGTAACTTTTCCCACTCACGATGCAGTACCTCAGGTGGCACAACACAATGTGACAGTGTTCCTTCATCTGACAACAAGTTAATGCTAGTGTCTACTCACCACTGTCCCGCTTTGAAGGTGAAGTCTGGATGGACAGCAATTCTCAAACGTTTCACCATCTCCGACTCATTTATAATGCCACATACTTTAGCTGGATACAGAACCTGTTGTTAGCCGGTCAAGCACAAAATACACACACATTCACAGGAAGAGAGCAGAGTTTATGAGTGTGTTAATAATCTTTGGATGGACTGTCAGTAAATTACACTGTTAGTAAGAGGCACAGGTAATGAATACATTACATATTGATGTATTCAAATACAAAATATCAACTTACATTTTGTCTGGAGTTGTTCGCTGTTCTCTGTAGATGGTCCATTTGCCTTCTGGAGGACATATTTCTTCTTCTAAAAAAAGGAGGTAGTTGCTGTTCACTTGTCTTGTGGGAAATATTCTTTATGCATTGAGTGAAGAGCTACAAAGCAGCATGGCATGTGGACTTTGGCCTCATGGCTAGCAAGCAAAAACAAACTTAAAGGGCTAGTTCGCCTAAATCTGGTTTTCGTGATTTGGGTGAAGCATATCTTTAAGTTAAAAAATCACAATTTAATTATAGTTTCCTTGGTGTCAGTCTTTACAGTGTCCCAGGAGTGAGCAGCCAGGTACATTTCAATGAAACTCACCTTGTGAAGGAGCTGGGGCCCAGAATCCGGCAGCAGAGGAGACCGGCAGGTTTGCAGAAGCTTCGGGCAGCTGATGACAAGAAACAGGGGACGCTCATCTCGACCTGGGCGGATTTCCGAAAAGAGCAGAGAACATCTGGCATTAGCTGTGGGAGCCCACCGCTTGTCATTTAACGTTACTTATAAATCACATATATCAATATCGGCAGTTAATATATTTATCCCTTTCTTCAGTGTTTCGTTTCGCTTTATAAAATCCCCGGTACAGCAGCTGTAAATTCAACAGCTGAGCCCCTCAACAGTGCCGTTTAACTAAAACATCACCCCTCTGGCTGGGATGGCACCGCACGCCAAACTCCGCTTATGTAATAGTCCAGCATACCTTCACATTCACACCAGGAACATGTCACCAAACGACACTGAAAACATGCCTCAAGACCTCAGTATTAGTGATATTGTTCGCTGCCACCAACCGGAGTGCCCTTCAGTTCACGATCATGAAAGGAATAAGAGGCAGCCCGATCCTAAAACGTTACATCCTGATCAAAAAGCGGCTCTGTGTAATATTGTGATTATTTTAAACGGAGTTTGGAATAGCCTCCTCTGTCATGCGGCTAATAGTTAGCTCTCCAGCTAAAGCTGCTAGCAAGTCAATGCCGGTTTGTTATTTGACACAGACACATAATAGACACATACAAGTGCTGTCCTCTTCTTCTTACCGAGATAAGATGTTTGTCAAATGGTGTTACTATATAACCTTGGTCATGTTATTTTTATAACACACTACTGAGGTCTTCTGTGATGTTGTACGGCCGCTTGCGTCTTCTTCTGCGAGAAAAGGACAATTCAATTTGTTGCACTATCGCCCTCTCCTTGTTGGTTGGCTCCTAGCTTCTAGGCATTAGCCATTGCGATACAGTATACAGTGTAGACTAGATTTTTGACCCAACTAAGTAGGCTACATTTTCTCAAGTAGGCTCCTGTTTGCAAAATACACCAGTTGTACCGTTTTATGGGTTACAGTATGAGTATGCCCCTGGATCAACATAATCATCTTTACCAGACTGTTTTGCTTTATGCAGCAAGAAGAAAAAAAATCAAGTGAAGAATTTCATTTTCAAATGATTAAAAATTCATCATTATTTAATTTGCTGTGTATTTGGATTACTGTAAACAGATATTTGTCTATTTATATCCATGCACATGTTGGTAGGCACAATATTGAACTTTTATTTATGCTGCTCACGTTTTGTGCAATTTCATTGCCACCATATCAATCGTATAATAATATAGATTTTTGCTGTATTATATCTTTCTTCACGGCTTATCATGTTTAGCAAGTGGCATATTTTTTATCATTGAAATGTTTAAATTAGTTCACTTATTTTTTCACAGAATTTGACCTGCACAGCATGAATTGTTTACAATTTGAATGACTTTTGACTCATTGTGTGATGATGGAAAATAATAAAGCACTTATTTAAGGACACGTTGAACTATGTTGTGTGTTGTGATCCATTATATTTTATTCAATCACAATGATTTTCACATTTTAACCAAAAACCAATGTAGACAGAGATGTCTATATCAGCAGCCTTTCTGATAATATGCACTGAATAACTACTGCTTTCATTTTCACACATGATGTTATTGGAGTATTTTCCAGCCAAACAGAACTTTGCCTCATACTCGTTTGGTGAACTCGGTCAACTGTCAAACTATTGACACACTACTCCTCATCTACATACATAAAGTGTCGGGCTTGATTATGAAAAAAAATGTGTGTTTCTCAAATTATAATTTTTTGCTTTTGAGTGTAGGTTCCTCTATAAATATACCTGTCAGCTATCAGCGATAGCACGTTCAAACCTGGTGTTTGGAATGTTAGTGATGGGGCAACTAAGATGTTTTAAAAAACTCCAGGACCTAATGCCGTCCTCCATTACAAGAGTGATAGTCCATGTGGGAACAAATGACACAGCTCTTCAGCAGCCTGAGCTGACAAAATCAGATTTTAACCATCTTTTTAACTTGGCCGCTTCAGTAGACTCCTTGGCCTCCACGACTGGCTCCAGTCCGCCTGCAGGGCTCAGGGTGTGTGTCGATAACCTTAATATTTTCTGGCAAAGAATGTCTCTTTTTAAGACAGACGGACTTCACCCAAACAAACGGGGCTCAGAAATGTTAGCTGCTCACATACAGCATGTGGTACGGTCCACACATGACTTACGTGAATGACTAATCATTCATGCAGCACACCTGGACACACCACCGGTCACTGAACAGATCTCTGCCTCACTGCCACAAACAACTGTCTCCACCTCCTGGCATGTAAAGCCGTCTGCTCCCAGCGCTGTTCCAAAGACTTCTATTCCTGTCATCATCACGCGTAGACCAGTAAACCGAAATGTGCACATCCCACAAAGAAATAATAGTAATCTTATAAGGATTAGGACAACTGTACCAACTCCAGCACCTAGAACAAACTCACACTGTAACTGATTTTTTGTATTTTGAACAGTATTTTACTGTAATATGTACAGTAAAATACCAGATATATACTTCACAGTATATTACTGTAAATAGCAAAGGATTATGGGAAACTATTGTCACTACTGTAATTCTTCTCTACTGTAAATGCATTTACAGTAATAAACCTGCCCGCGAAAAAATGACCAATGGGAGGGGATATGTTTTTTGTTGTAAGTGGCGGTAAAAGGACAAAGGAGAAAAAAAACAAGTCAACATAAACGTTAGAAGAAAGGTAGAAGATAAAAAGATAGTGGTTAACATTAACTTAACTGTGTAATGTTATGGTTATAACTTAACGTTTATCTAACATTAAGTTAAGCTTAAAATGTATAAAACGTTAGCTGGTTATTGAACAATGTACTATTGATTATTTAAATTCATAGCATTATACCAAAAGTTTTAACCGTTTTTGTTTTCATTTAATTTTTAAATATTTCAATGTTATAATGTCACGTCAGTTGTGTTCCTTTGCCTCTAACCGTTAGCTAACCTCCAACGGTTAACTGTTAGAACGTCTAACGTTAGAGGCTGGCTGGCTGACTTGACGGAAGTTTAAGTAGTAACGCTTACGGCTAACGACAACGTTAGCTGTAACGTTAACGTTAGTACAACGTCAACTGGTGAGTAAAATAAACTCCGTTCAGCTAACGTTACTCATTACTCATACTCGTTAAACATTTTTAAACAGACAGATATAACGTTACGATAAAGAACCCGGTAATGTAACGTTAACGAGATACTTTTCAAAATGCTCCTACTGAATTAGGCCGTCCCACGGAGAAAGGATCTTTTTACAGTGCATTTAAAATGGCTCTCTTCAATGTGAGATCACTGTCAAGTAAGACTTTTATCTTAAATGATTTTATCTTGTCTGCAAATCTAGATTTTATGTTTTTAACTGAATCATGGTTGCAAATGAATGACTATAGCCAGCTAGCTGAACTGTGTCAACGAGGGTCAGTGGTCGTGGTGGTGGGCTAGTGAGCGTGTATAGGAAAAATTTTAAATGTCATCAAGTACGCTGTGATGAATTTAACTCCTTCGAAGTTCTCTCTCTTAAAGTTGGAGGGCTGCAACCTATCATATTTGTTATAATTTATGGCCCCCCAAAACCGCCTGGAGGATTTTTATCAGAACTTCCTGAATTTTTATCTAGTCTGGTTTTAAATTATGACAGAATTGTTCTTTGTAGCAATTTTAATATTCATGTTGATGACCCAACTGACTTTTTAAATATGGCCACTTCTTTTAACTTCAAACAACATGTCAAAGGGCAAACACATAACCGTGGTCCTACACTGGACTTGGTTTTTACCCTGGGTGTCAGCATTTCCTCTGTGGAATTAGTGGACATGACAATATCTTACCACAGATGTATTGTTGATGTACTCATGCCGCCTCACCAAGCTCTGTGTGTTCTTGCATCTTTAATGAACAAAGTGTTTCAAAGTTTTGCACATTCTTTCAGAGCCAAAGCCAACACCTGTCTGATTCCAACACCAACAATCTGGGCGATCACTTCAATCATATCTGCTTGTTGTCACTAAATATTACTGCTCCTCTAAAGGTTAGGCATACGTCTAAAGCTAGTAAGCAACCCTAAAAGCGGAATGCAGGAAAGCAGAGCGCAGATGAAAAAAATCCAGTCTCCAAGTCCATTACCTCAGTCTGAAGGATTAATTAATTAACTACAATAACATGGTTAAGGATGTGAGAAACACTATTTTTCTGAACTCATTACTACACATAAACACAATCCCAGGTTTCTGTTTAAGACTGTGGATCAGCTGGTAAACCCAACCCCTCCTTGTGCCTCAGCTGGAAGTAATGATGACTGTGAATTGTTTTTATCTTATTTTACAAATTAGGTGGTGTCAATCAGAGCCTCTATTACCCCCACTGCCTCTTACTCAGAGGTCCCTCACCAGCAACAAGAGAGTTTTAACCAGTTTTATCCCATTGACTTGTCTTTGATCTCTGTTTTTAACAGCTCCCTATCTACTGGTTGTGTCCCTGATTATTTTAAAATGGCTTGCGTGAACCCGCTTTTAAAGAAACCTGGTTTAGATCCCTCCCTCCCACAAAATTTTAGACCAATTTCAAAACTGCCTTTTATTGCAAAGATTCTAGAAAGAATTGTGTCCAAACAGCTGCTCACTGTACTGGAAAATAACAAAATATTTGAAAAGTTTCAATCTGGTTTCAGGAAGTACCACAGCACTGAGACTGCCCTGCTTAAAGTCACCAATGACCTTTTAATGTCTGCTGATGAAGGCATGTGCTCAGTCCTGGTACTCCTGGACCTTAGCGCTGCTTTTGACACCATTGATCACAAGATCATGTTAGACAGACTGAGGCACTGGGTGGGATCTCTGGTACTGCCTAGAATGGTTTTCATCCTACCTGTCAAATAGGAAGTTTTGCATGTCTATAAACAACTATGTCTCTTCATTCTGTCCAGTTAAATATGGTGTGCCTCAGGGGTTGGTCTTAGGACCCATTTTGTTTTCTTGTATCTGCTTCCCCTTGGACATATTATCCATAAACATGTTATTTCTTTTCATATTTATGCTGATGACACACAAATGTACTTGCCCGTCAGATCCACAGATCCTGGAATGCTGAGTTCACTTAACGGTCCCAGCAGATGGAAAACAAATACTGCCATCTGCTGGTTCCCTAGTTAATCACATTAAACCTGTTGCAAAGAACCTTGGTGTCTGGTTTGATAGTAATAAATTAATAAATTAAATTTCGAGCAGCACACCACAAAGCTTGTTCAATCATGTTTTTATCAACTTAGAAATATAGCAAAAATTCAATCTACATTATGTTAACTTTTATCAGGTCGGCTGAGTCAGTGAACTCTTTTAAGTCCCTTCTTAAAATAATTTTATAGGAGAGCCTTTCCCGATCTTATTTGACTTTATTTTATCCCTTTTATTTTATTCTATTTTACTTATTTTATATTTATCTTAAACGTGTATTTTGGTCTTTTCAATGTTTTCTTGCTTGTATTGTTGTCTTTTGGGTATTGTATTGTTGTCTTTGCACTTGTTGAAGCACTTACTTGCTCTACAAATAAAGATTATTATTATTATTTGTGGCCTTTAACAACCTTTCAAGCAGTCAGCTCTGACCAGAATTGACTGTAAGAATAGAAGTGATTGTGAGAATAGAATTCATTGTGATGGAGAATTAGAATGTGCACTTGACTGCATAAATTCAATTTACAGTTTCAGGTTCAATTGGTGTCAGTTCGGCCATTTCACACAAATTCACCTTGAGTACTAATCAACTCTTGATTGTCTATTTTTGT